TGTGATCTTCATTACTTCATATCGTCACTAAATCTCATTCTTTAAAACCCTTTGGGATCAACAAATATTGTTTTATATTAACTAACCTACCATATAGTTAAATGGTCATGTAAGATGGTGGTCCATTTGAAACATCACTATTAGAATTCAAATCCCGTTTAAATATTAGACGGATCAAATAGTTCATTTGAGTTTGTGTTCTAAAGCGATATTGAGTCATAAGGTTTGATTTCATATTAAACTATCTAGTTCATTAAGAGCATTAGCCAAAATCATTATTTTCATATATGTTCGAAATAATATTTTTACCCTTCGCATACGGGAAGGAAGTTTGAACTTGATGCGAATGAGATTTACACGGTTCCGTAGATTAATTATTGTTTTCATATTTGAGTTGAGATTTTTACCCTTCACACTGTTCCATTGATTGAAGCCCTACTTTTCGTACCCTACTTGAAATATTTTATTAAGACCGATCCATTCATTCTCAATAATTCAATAGAGGTTCGTGAAAATGTCTCACTTTTAATTTTCTTTGTTTTAATGAAGTCGTATTCTATTGGTTGACATTATTATCATAGTTTATGCAAAAAGTAAACGTATTTGGTGGGATTAAAATTAAATTTTTGGTAGATTTTGATAAAATTTAAATAATTAACGTATGATTGAAAAGTTGTGAATTCCATAAAATATGTGATTGACTTAAACTTAAATTAAAATTTTACGCTCAGTTTGTTTCTCATTTTTAGAAGAATGAAAACGAAAAATATTGTCATTACGGATCTCACACAAGAGATAAAAATTCAAATTTGGTAATTTGATGTAATGGATAAAGATCATATTTTTTATTTTAATGAGAAAATAATGGAAAGCAAACGGGGGCTTAATTTTAATTTCTAGCTTAGGCTAAATATACAGTGGACTGAATAATCTTTGTTAGACGTCGCATTTGAATTAGTTTGTTTTCATAGTCAACTATGTAATTCCCAGCTACAATACAACCTGGCAGAACCTTTGTTTCCGACTATATAAAGAGACATTCTCATGGTAATTGCCACCCACAACCTATCATTCTCTCAAAAATGGTGATCAAGCTTCAATTCTTCATATTCTTGATTTCCTTCTCCTTCTTCCTCTTCACCGCCGTCTCGGGAATCCCCTCGGATGGCATAAACGAGTGGTGCAACAAAACCCCGTACCCCAAACCATGCAAATATTTCATGAACCACGGTCCACGCCATTTTGTACCTAAACAAAAATCCGATTTTAGAAAAATGGCTATCAAATTAGCCATGGAACGTGCACTCAAAGCTGAGGTTCATACTAAAGAACTTGGGGTCAAGTGCAGAAATGACCGCGAAAAAGCTGCTTGGGCTGATTGTTTGAAGCTATATGAAAGCACCATCGAGCAACTCAACAAAACCATAGACCCTAACAAGAAATGTACTGATTTTGATGCTCAAACGTGGCTCAGTACTGCATTGACAAACCTCGAGACTTGTCGAACGGGGTTTAGGGAACTCGGTGTGTCGGATTTCATGCTGCCTTTGATGTCGAATAATGTGTCACAATTGATCTGCAACACTTTGGCTCTAGGAAATAATGGTACTAATGTTAAAGAAACTTATTATGGGTTTCCTAGTTGGCTTTCACCAGGAGACAGGAAGCTGTTGCAAACGTCGTCCATTAGGCCGAACCTCGTGGTGGCTCAGGACGGCTCTGGGAACCACCGGACCATTAAGGCTGCCCTTGATGCTGCAGCAAGGAGGAGTGGCAGTGGAAGGTTCGTTATACATGTGAAACGAGGCGTTTACCGGGAGAATTTAGATATTGGAAACAAATTAAGGAATATTATGTTGGTTGGTGATGGATTGAAATACACTATTATTACTGGCAGCAGAAGTGTTGGAGGAGGCTCCACCACCTTCGAATCAGCAACCGTCGGTAAGTTCTTCTTATCTACCCGACCGCAACCTGTGTTTAACTTCTTTATCTAAAAGTTTAAGCGTTAAAAGAGATTAAAAAAAAAAATTATTTATTTGAGATGTGCTACATGTACGGCAAGTTTTACAATAGGTTGACAGTTTTAAAAAAAAAAAAAAGGAAAAAATAATTTGACTCTCTGTCAACTTATCTATCAAATGAGGTGTACAAATTGGAAAACACTAGTTTTTTATCTTATGCTTTTATTATATCCAAAACTTGCATTTAGGACCTCTATCGGGTTCAACATCCCCATCCCTCCCCTGGCCACCAACCCGACACGAACACACCTACATATAATTTGCTTTGGCTATTTCTTTACTAAGGTCTTTGAGATATCAGTATATTCAATTATCAGAATATTTCAACTTTAATCTGTCACGATGCTGATTGATAGGTATTCTAATGTTTCAATTTCCAAATACTTGACTAAAAATTGTGATTTTTTCGCATTGAAATTCTTTCATCTCTAGAAGCACAAAGAAAAATACAAAGTCAATTTTCATATCTGTTACAAATCACTATTATTAAATTTCATTTATACTCATGCATTTGATAAATCATGACCAATTCTCATTCATGGCTCCTCAGCTGTCACCGGCGAAGGATTCATTGCTAGTGGCATCACCTTCCGGAACACTGCCGGCCCGCAGAACCACCAAGCGGTGGCACTCCGCTCCGGCTCCGACCTCTCCGTCTTTTACCGCTGCAGCTTCGAAGGATATCAAGACACTCTTTACGTCCACTCCCAACGCCAATTTTATAAAGAATGTTACATATACGGAACAGTAGATTTCATCTTTGGAAATGCAGCTGCAGTTCTCCAAAACTGCATGATTTATGCAAGGCGTCCTATGGATAAACAGAAAATCGCCATTACAGCACAAGGCCGGACTGATCCAAACCAGAACACCGGAATTTCAATCCATAATTCACGCATAATGGCGGCTGCTGATCTCCGGCCGGTGTTGAGTTCATTCAGGACGTTCCTGGGAAGGCCCTGGAAGCAATATTCACGTACAGTTTTTCTTCAAACGTACATGGATTCATTGGTGGATCCGGCGGGGTGGCTGGAGTGGGATGGTAATTTTGCTCTGAATACATTGTATTATGGAGAATATAGGAACTCCGGCCCGGGTTCTGCCACCGGCCGGAGAGTCGGGTGGCGGGGCTACCGTGTTATAACGAGTCCGACTGAGGCGTCGAGGTTCACAGCGGAGAATTTTATTGCTGGACGTTCATGGCTGCCGGCAACCAGTGTGCCATTCACAGCTGGACTCTAAAAGTTCAATTGTGCATTACTTTTCAATTGTACGTCGTATTCTTTATTCTTTTCTTCCTTGCATGTTACCGTTTTAATGTATAATTCCCTGTTTTATCCCATATTAATAAACTCTAATTTCCTTACCTTGGCTCCTTAGTTCTAAAATTAAGCACGCCTGTTCTTGATTTTTTATTAAGTTCCCCTTTGGTTTGAATAAAAAATGATTTTTTTTAATATATTTTGATAAAAGTCAATGAATGTGTTGTTGAAAAGTTGAGTATTGTATAAAATGTGTTACTTTGACTTAAATATAAATTAAATTCTTTTAGCTGACAGGACACAATCAATCCACAAGACGGAAACGGTCCAAATTTTAGTGCGTTTGATTTACTGTTTTGAAATCATTTTCAGTTTTCAATTCTTTTAAACATTCTATACATGTTTGGTATATTATTTTCAAAAATACGTCTTTGAAAACAAAGAAAATTTTACAACATAAAACTCAAAATGACTTTTTGACTTTTTAACACTCAAAAACTCAAAACAAGAAAAATGACCTTAAAAAATTCTCAAATTAAAATAATTAATAAAATCACACAACTTACTCAAATACAAATATCCATCTCCCAACTCTCTCTCTCTCTCTCTTCTCCCAGGCTCCTCTAAAATGTCATAAAATTATTAAATCAAAAGTGTATTTTTTTTTTTTTAAAAACAGTTTTTTAGATTGACAAATTAACCAAATACATTTTCTACAATCTTAAAATAATCTCTCAGAAGGGAAAATAGAAAATGAATTTAAAACGAGAAATAGAAAACAGAAACGCATACCAATCGCTCCCTTAATTTTTATTTTATTTATTTATTTTTTCATAGTTACATCTACTATAAAAATCGACAAAGATAAAACATTTTGTCACAGCATGTTAAGTCTAGCCATTGTTTGGTTTAACCTTTTTTGCTCAAACTCATTTTTTGTTATAGGATCTACAACTTTTATCAAGTTTTTAATCGCGTATTTTATCAACTTTTATCAAAATCTATTAAAAACCAAACGTAGGCTTTCATATAGGTCCTCTAGTAATTTTGAATGGCAATTTCTTTCTTTTAATCAATAAAATTTAGCTCCTTTAATTCATGTCAGATATAGTTAATTGACCTTTACGAACAAACATCCTCATTTTTCCCAGGCTTCCCATTTCCAACCCCATATTGATGCAGAATGGAAGAGGGAGGTAAAGAAAGATGGAACTTTTTTGAAAAAAATAATTTTAAGTTTTGCCAGTGACCAATTTTTAGTGCACTTCATCATTTGTTTATAATTTTTTTTTAAATAATCTTTTTTTTTATTGCTGTATAATTATTAAAAGAAAAAGAAGACACTAAATTAAGATCTAGGCTTTGTATTGATTACATTGTACTCTTTCAATATGGATTTCTTATTGCATTGTCGTTTAATTGATCGACGGTTGCTTGAATTAATAATAGTTTATATTGAAATAAAATTATTGAATTAACATCGAATTGTTGAATATTGTTGCCTAGTTGGGTTTCAAAAATAAATTGAATTGATGAATTATTGATGTATCTTGAACGTGCGTAACATCTCCAACATGTCGACACTGATAACATATTTGTTCATCACTGTACTAGTCCCTTGTTTACGTATATATGATATGACTTTGGGATGAATTCTTGGCATTAACATTAAAAAATAATAATAATGGTAGACTTCTTCCTTTTCACCAATTGATTATTGCACATGAATAGATTAGAATTAAAATCTATTATTTCATACAAATCAGAGCATTACAAATTTACAGCTGAGTTTGCGAGTATTGAATTTTTCATTTCCTTTCTTTCCACTAATGGCACTTATGATCCAAGAAAGCTAGAACTTCATAGTATTTATCAACTGTCCAAAAATGTATAAAACAACGGTGCTAAGATGTCAATACCTTATACCTGAATATTGATTAAAGATTTCCATGAATCCAGTTTCTAATCAATTCAAGGATCAATCAACTTGTCTGGAAGAACAGTGTTGCAGGCAGCAATTCCCCAAAAAAAATTTCTCACTCCTCTCTGAAGCAAGAAAACGATTAATGGTATCCACTTGAGTGAGTACATCTCATAATGCTGCCAACAAATCTATGTTTGTGCTGCTCATTATTGATGGGAGTTTAAGTGATCTGCATTGAATCCAAGATAACCAGGCACCAGCAACTTCCGGAACAAGATTTTCAAACATGTATGTTTATTCCTCAAGGACAAATATCCACGCAGATACATAATTACAGCAACAGCCAATCTGCATAAGTTAGAATCCTTAAGTCACAGTGAAAAGTACAATATCTTTGCAAATGTTAAATGTACAAAATAACAAGAAAACATGATAGTAGGTGATTTTATGCTTGCAGAGCAGGCTATAATGAAGTATCCAAACTCAATTATGAACAATGTTATCCTGCACCAAGAGTAGATCATGATCAGAAGAGAAGCCACATGTTATAGGATTCCTGACAGGACAAATTTATAACTAATAAATAGGAGAGGCAAGAAAAAGAACTTCCGATGTAATATCATTTACAATGAGCATGGCTATCTTCAAAAGCTAAAAGAGTCTACTGAGTGTAAGCTCAAGTATCAAAATAAATCTGTGAAGAGCCGGATGAAGATTCTTTGCACGCTTTATTCAGGCCAGCAGACCCGTATATTCATGTTATATTGACAAAAAATTCTTTGAAGAAACTCAAAGGGACCTAAAAGTGAAGTTCTGCAATATAGAATATAAAGGGTCATTCAAACAAAAGGGCAGTTCCAAAACTATTAGAACGGTAAATGCAATCACACTATCAAGGAAAATTATAGCCATACATTGTAATCCATATTCATCAAGTATAATGAGCATGTTCCCAATGGTCATCAACAGCAGCTGAGGTCCCAAAAGATAGTTTTATACTGTTTTAGGATGCATTCTGTTTAACCCCGCAGTTGATAACAACAAAGCCTTCGACTATTGATCCTATAAATCTCAATTTTGGACATTTCATATTTGTTTCAATCGTGTGGTTTACTTTGGAATTCGACCAACCAACAAGGAATCAAGTACTACATAGATAACAATTTTGGTAACTGATTGCTTTTTGTCCTTCCCATGCGTCAAAATAATTAAACCACCATCCCGATCCAAAATAGCTAGCACCTGGCCAGCAATTAAGCAATTTGCCACGCAATTTGAAAAGCTCGACAGCTTATGACCCACTAGTTATCTACACATACATAAGACCCATAGCTTATGAACACCTAAAAGCATGACCAAGCAAACATATAATAAATCAAATTTTGACATTTTTAAAAATTTCCTAGAATAAGACCAATGCACAGGCTTACAAGCTCCCATGGGCACAATATTATCATTCTTAGAAAATATAAACAAATAGAAGATGAGCATAAACAGCTACCTAAGTACAATAACAATCGTACAATATCTTGTTCACATATTCGCCTTGTCCATATCTCAAACTTTCAATTTCTCAAAAATATGGTGGCACACTTAGTAAAGTAGTTTACTGACATGTGTCTATGACCTCAAGAGATTTGGTCTATGAAAGCATGTCACAGCACCAATTCACAGGACAGTTGCTGCATTATATTATTCCTAATGACTAATCTACTCCCAGACTTGCTTGTTTAGAAGTTGTTGTGGGACTTTACAGTTTGGATTTGTCAAATTCTGTCTTCTGTATACTCCAGATATATTGACTCAATCATCCATTAAATCAGTGTGGGACCAATAACACAGAGTACATTTAAAGCTCTCTTCAACTAAAACTTTTATCGTCCTTCTATTTTCGCTTGCTGTCGCCATTGGGAAGAAATTGATCAATAGCTTTCTATATTTTGACTCAAAATACTAAGCAAAAAAGCCTAAGCATGTGCATCTTAGATTTAGTATTTTAATTCAATACAGTGGGAAAGTTAACATCACAAAAAAGTAGACTTCTTCCATTACACCATTAGATTATTGCACATGGATAGATTAGAATAAAAATCTATTAGTCCATACAAATCAGAGTGTAACAAATTTACAGCTGATTTTGTGATATTGAACTTTTCATTTCCTTTCAGTCCACTTAAGGAACTTATAATCCAAGAAAGCTAAAACTTCATAGTATTTATCAACTCTCCACAAATGTATAAAACAAAGTGCTGAGAATGTCAATACCTTATACCTGAATATTGATCAAAGCTTTCCATGAATCCAGTTTCTAATCAATTCAATGATCAACTTGTCTGGAAGAACAGTGTTGCAAGCAGCAATTCCCCAACCAAGTTTTTCACTCTTCCATGCAGCAAGAAAACAATAAACAGTATCCATTTGCGCAAGTACATCTCACAATGCTGCCAACAAATCCATGCTCGTGCTGGTTATTGATGGCAGTTTAAGTGATCTGCATTGAATCCAATATAACCAGGCACCAGAAACTTCCAGAACAAAGATTTTCACACACTTAAGTTTATTCCCCAATGACAAATATGCCATGCAATTACGTAATCACAGCAACGGCCAATCTGCATACATTAGAATCCCTAAGTAACAACGAAAAGTACAAAATCTTTGCAAACGTTAAAATTACAAAGTAACAAGAAAACGTGATTGTATGTGATTTTACGCTCGCGGAGTAGGCTATAATGAACTATCCAAACTCAATTATGAACAATGTTATCCCGCAACAAGTGTAGATCATGATCAGAAGAGAAGCCACATAATATAGGATTCTTGACAGGACAATGTTAATAATAATATATAGGATGGGCAAGAAAAAGAACTTTCGATGAAATATCATTTACAATGAGCATGGATATCTTCAGAAGTTAAAAGAGGAGTCTGCTGAGTGAAAGCTCAAGTATTAAAAGTAATATGAAAAGAGCCAGATGAAGATTCGTTGCATGCTTTATTCAGGCCAGTAGCCTAATATATTTATGTTGTATTGACAAAAAATTCTTTGGAGAAATTCAAGGGACCTAAAAGTAAAGTTCTACAATATAGATTATAAATTTGTCATCTCAAACAAAAGGGCAGTTCTAAAACTATGAGGACAGCGAAACCAACCACTATATTAAGCAATATTATAGCCACACATCGTAATCCTTATTCATCGAAGTATAATGAGCATTCTCAATGGTCATCAACAGTATCAAAGCTCCCGAAAGATAGTTTCATACTGTTTTAGGATGCATTCTGTCTAATCCCATGGTCGATAACAACAAAGCCTTAGATTATTTATCCTATAACTCTCAATTTCAGAAATTTCATTGTTTTCAATTGTGTGGTTTTCTGTGGAATTCGATCAACAAACAAGGAATCAGGGATTACATGCTAAACTAATAAAACAACCTTCCTGATCCAAAGTAAGGCTAGAATCTGGCTTGCTATGAAGCAATTTACGGCATAATTTAAAAAGCTCGACAACTTACTATCCACTTATTAAATAACACATTCCATAAGACCAATAACTTATAAATGCTTAAAAGCATGACCAAGCGAACATATGATCTATGTTGCTCGGACTATCCAAAAATGGATAAGTATCCGTATCAACACGACATAATACGGATACTGACACGGGATATGGATCGGATCCTTCGTTTTACACTCGAACACGGCAGCAAAAGGGAAAAGATGCGAAAGATATCTTGCTTCTCTGGCTATCGTCTGGCAGCAAAGAGAGTTGGGAAGATTGTGAATTAGGAAAGACGACGAGTTTCAGAGGTTAAATGGTCTCTTGAGAAGTACAATGGATAGAGTTAACGAGAGTGTTTACTGTTTAAAGGGCTCTTGTGAAGTCCAATGGATGTATTTAATAAGTTTACTTTTGTATAATTTTTTTATTTCTTATATTTTATCTTTGTGAACATTTTATATTTTATCTTTGTGAACATTTTATGTTGTAATTAAAATGATTTAGTGATATATCTTTTTTCCAGTATTAAATTTAAATTTATATCTATAATTGCTTTTAAATAATATATAAGACATTGAAATTGATTTTTTCTTAATTTTTTGGAAAAGAATTTATTTTGACTTTAAATTTAAATTGATTTCAAATTATAATCCAATTGTTTAAATTGATTTATCGAAGGAATTAATAAACAAAATAAACTACGAGTTCATTTTTTAATAACCAATATCAGTTAATTTGTAAGAAGTATCCCCATACCCGTATCCAAAATTCGGATCTCTTTTAACCATATCCCCATATCTTAATTTTTATAATGAGGAGGATCCAACTCTTAGATATATATACTCGTATCCGATACCCACACCAGAGTTCGAGCATCATAGCATGTAATAAATCAAATTTAAACATTTTAAAAAATTCCCTAGAATAAGACTCATACACAGTCTTACAAGCTCCCATTGGCACAATATTATCATTCTTAGAAAATATAAACAAATAGAAGATGAGCATAAACAGCGACCTAAGCACAATAACAATCGTGCAATATCTTGGTCACATATTCACCTCTCCCATATCTCAAACTTCCAATTTCTCAAAATATGGTGGCAAATTCACACTCAGTAAAGTAGTTTGCGCTCACTGACACGTGTCTATGGCCTCAAGAGATTTGATCTATGAAAGCATGTCAAAGCACGAACTCATGGGACAGTTGCTGCGTTATATTATTCCTAATGACTAATCTACTCCCAGACTTGCTTGTTAGAAGTTGTGAGACTTTACAGTTTGGATTTGTCAATTTCTGTGTCTTTTATGTACTCCAGATATCATCGACTCAATAATCCATTAAATCAATGTGGGACCAATACCATAAAGTAAATTTATAACAATTCAAAACTTTAGTATGTGAGATGACAAGTATACATGTAACAGCGAGTCTCTTCGTAACCAACAACAAGAAACCAAGTCTTATTCCTAATAAATTTGGGGTCAGCAGCCACAAAAGGTCATGCTAATTTGAGTCTACCTCTCCCTCATGTTGCAATCTGATCAGTGATTTTAGTCCAACAACGCATCTATTTGTAGCAGTGTAGCTTCGTTTTTATGGATATCATCCATCTATGACAGGATGTTTATCATTTCTATCACATCCTGACTATCACAATGTTTGATACTATATCCATTGGTAGCAATGTAGGACATTATGTTTAATGGATATCATCCTGGCCATCATAACCAAGTCTGTATACACGTCGCAACCTTGACTGTTCTATGCATGGATAATTAACTGTCCGTAATTTTGTGAACAGAAAGTGAACACCATTTGTCATTTCTATTACAGACATGATTGTTTTGTAGCTGCTCCTAACCACACAATAGTTGAGCCCTCTATCTCATCTCTGGTAAACACCTATTCGTGTTCGTGTAACAATTTATAAGACAAAAAAAGAGGCTAAGTAATATGTCTAGAGCAGAGAGAAGATGCACTACACAAACTTGAAGAGTAAAATAGAGATGAAAATTTCAAAACGGCCTTCTAATGACGTGTACAGCCAAAATAGCTTACCTTCCTAATTTTTCAGTTAAAAGGCTTTTTATGTATAGTATAGTAAATAACCTTATTGTAGAGGCCTTCTTTTTTAAAGTAATCAAATCGACCATAACCGAGTCAAAATTGACCTCAACCTGGTCTGTTTCTAGGCCTTTCTTTCATCACCAACCCAACATGAAGCCCCCAAACTCTCCATTCACGATCTCTGCTATGAAGCTCCCAACTTGAAGACCATCAAGGGGGCAGGTACTGGAAGCAGGGAGGGCCAGGAAGCAAGGACACAAAGGGGAGGGATGCGTTGAGGGGAGAATTGAAGAAGTAACGACAGAAAAAAGGATGAAGAGGGGGGAGAGAGCATGAACACAAGGGTGCAGGGGGGAGGGAGGCTGAATGTGTTGGGGGTTTAGGGTGGTGAGGTAGAAGAAGATGATGACAAGGGTATTTAGGATTTTTGACATAAGTTTAAAATTTCAAAAAGGTCAGGCCTTTTTTATCATATGCTTTCCCTTTCAGGCCCCCTTTTTTTTTTTTTTGGGTACTAGTGCATTGCACATGCGATGAAACTCTCCCCCACATACAAGTTATAATGTGGCAAAAGGAGGAAACTTGGAACTATAGCACAGTCCAGTGTTACATAAGAAAGGAAGACACTCAAAAAGGGACACATGAAGGGCAGTCATAATTACAGAAACGTATATTTCTTTAAACAAGAACCTGATGTGACCATGCATTAAGCAGATAATGTGCTTCATCCAGTAATAGGTCACACAAAACGGTCATAGGAACCTAGAACTAAGAGATTCATCCATTACACTTTACGAGCATAATCTAAACATTTGAAGATATGGGAAATATAAAAAAAATAGTTCCTCGATATCTCGAGCATCATAGCATGTAATAAATCAAATTTAAACATTTTAAAAAATTCCCTAGAATAAGACTCATACACAGTCTTACAAGCTCCCATGGGCACAATATTATCATTCTTAGAAAATATAAACAAATAGAAGATGAGCATAAACAGCGACCTAAGCACAATAACAATCGTGCAATATCTTGGTCACATATTCACCTCTCCCATATCTCAAACTTCCAATTTCTCAAAATATGGTGGCAAATTCACACTCAGTAAAGTAGTTTGCGCTCACTGACACGTGTCTATGGCCTCAAGAGATTTGATCTATGAAAGCATGTCAAAGCACGAACTCATGGGACAGTTGCTGCGTTATATTATTCCTAATGACTAATCTACTCCCAGACTTGCTTGTTAGAAGTTGTGAGACTTTACAGTTTGGATTTGTCAATTTCTGTGTCTTTTATGTACTCCAGATATCATCGACTCAATAATCCATTAAATCAATGTGGGACCAATACCATAAAGTAAATTTATAACAATTCAAAACTTTAGTATGTGAGATGACAAGTATACATGTAACAGCGAGTCTCTTCGTAACCAACAACAAGAAACCAAGTCTTATTCCTAATAAATTTGGGGTCAGCAGCCACAAAAGGTCATGCTAATTTGAGTCTACCTCTCCCTCATGTTGCAATCTGATCAGTGATTTTAGTCCAACAACGCATCTATTTGTAGCAGTGTAGCTTCGTTTTTATGGATATCATCCATCTATGACAGGATGTTTATCATTTCTATCACATCCTGACTATCACAATGTTTGATACTATATCCATTGGTAGCAATGTAGGACATTATGTTTAATGGATATCATCCTGGCCATCATAACCAAGTCTGTATACACGTCGCAACCTTGACTGTTCTATGCATGGATAATTAACTGTCCGTAATTTTGTGAACAGAAAGTGAACACCATTTGTCATTTCTATTACAGACATGATTGTTTTGTAGCTGCTCCTAACCACACAATAGTTGAGCCCTCTATCTCATCTCTGGTAAACACGTATTCGTGTTCGTGTAACAATTTATAAGACAAAAAAAGAGGCTAAGTAATATGTCTAGAGCAGAGAGAAGATGCACTACACAAACTTGAAGAGTAAAATAGAGATGAAAATTTCAAAACGGCCTTCTAATGACGTGTACAGCCAAAATAGCTTACCTTCCTAATTTTTCAGTTAAAAGGCTTTTTATGTATAGTATAGTAAATAACCTTATTGTAGAGGCCTTCTTTTTTAAAGTAATCAAATCGACCATAACCGAGTCAAAATTGACCTCAACCTGGTCTGTTTCTAGGCCTTTCTTTCATCACCAACCCAACATGAAGCCCCCAAACTCTCCATTCACGATCTCTGCTATGAAGCTCCCAACTTGAAGACCATCAAGGGGGCAGGTACTGGAAGCAGGGAGGGCCAGGAAGCAAGGACACAAAGGGGAGGGATGCGTTGAGGGGAGAATTGAAGAAGTAACGACAGAAAAAAGGATGAAGAGGGGGGAGAGAGCATGAACACAAGGGTGCAGGGGGGAGGGAGGCTGAATGTGTTGGGGGTTTAGGGTGGTGAGGTAGAAGAAGATGATGACAAGGGTATTTAGGATTTTTGACATAAGTTTAAAATTTCAAAAAGGTCAGGCCTTTTTTATCATATGCTTTCCCTTTCAGGCCCCCTTTTTTTTTTTTTTGGGTACTAGTGCATTGCACATGCGATGAAACTCTCCCCCACATACAAGTTATAATGTGGCAAAAGGAGGAAACTTGGAACTATAGCACAGTCCAGTGTTACATAAGAAAGGAAGACACTCAAAAAGGGACACATGAAGGGCAGTCATAATTACAGAAACGTATATTTCTTTAAACAAGAACCTGATGTGACCATGCATTAAGCAGATAATGTGCTTCATCCAGTAATAGGTCACACAAAACGGTCATAGGAACCTAGAACTAAGAGATTCATCCATTACACTTTACGAGCATAATCTAAACATTTGAAGATATGGGAAATATAAAAAAAATAGTTCCTCGATATCTGACAGGGTACAATGACCACAGATAAAATTTCTTACCTGGATTTTGGTTTAACTGGAAACGTACCATTTGTGTGGAAAGCAGAAAGTTCCTCTGGAGATTAAACTGGATCGACCATATGCCCCAGATGCCTTTCCTCATATTACATAATAGAAAAGGTAACCAGAACTCCTCACTTCAGTTATCTGCATACAGTCACTTTGTTTGTTCATTGGAGAAAAGCGTTTATAGAACATCATGAATCAGCCCGCTGCCTTTCTGTATATTTACAAAAACTCCATATAGTTATCAATCATGTAATGAACTTGTAAACATACACGAGTAAATTAATAATTTTGGCATACAGAGACCAAGAAAAGAACACAAAACTTAAAAGGCATTATCAGTTTCAACAAGAAACAACACCACCTGGAAAACTCCATCAGTACTGTTATAGCAAGAGTAGTAACTATATGATTCTTCAGTACAAGCGACAACCTTCAAGGGTGAATTAGAAAACATACTCATCAGCATTATGTGCCAAAGAAATCCATGGTACACATTTGCTTTACCAGTACCCTCTTGTCAGATTTTTGGTATAATGCAGTATGAAAACATTTTACGATTCTCCTCACAACAGACACCAGGAACAATGTTCAAAGCAAAATTCAAATAATGTATTTCAGTGAGAAAACATTGTCAAGTAAGAAGCACATTTTTTATCCTCATTTTGGTGAAGAAAAGTAGAAAACTACAAGGGAAAAGATGGAAGATTACATTTAGGACATGTTCAATTAAATTAAAGCTTCAACAAAATAACTTAATGAGTTTCTTCTGTTTATGTAACGCATGAGATTTCCTTTATCTGCGGTGTAAAGTAGCTTTAGATTTTCTCGGCTAACTTCGAAAGTATCATATGTGTTTTCAGCCCAAAATGAAGTATAAGAAAGATGAGTAAAATAAGTACAAATTCAAACATAAATCCAAGAAAAATCAAAGTACATTGTCAGGAGAAGCCCGTAAACATTCCAAAATACAAAAGTTTCAATCATATCCAGACCTCCTTTAGCCTTCTTTATCAAATCTTCCCACATCTAAAACACATAACATTTCATTAACACAATTAATTCAAATTAAAGTAACACAGAATATCTTACTATTTAAAAAACAACATTAGTCTATTATGTCTGCATAGCTGGTTTTAAATTCTTTCATTATCATATAAGCATCTTTAGGAGAAAGTAAATAGCAATTGAAAGAAACCAGAAAGCATAGCCAAAATGAACAAGAAATCATCTTCCTTAAGACAGACTGGAAATAGAAAATGGCTTCTACTAATCATTACTATGACAGATCCATGACTATAGCCTTCGCATACAGGATGAAACCATAAAATTGGGTAAAAATTAAAAATAGCATTTGCTAAACTTGCATTTCGCCCCTCTTTGGTACAAATTCTTTAAAACTCATTTTTCCCCAAATCATTTTCAACCAAACATTCTCCCTATAAAATAACTTTGTANCCCATCCATTCTTCGAATAAGCATTAATCATCGTGACAAAGATGGTTTCATCGGGATCAACACCACAGTCAAGCATCCTCCTGAAAACTTTTTCTGCCTCAAATATACTTTTCTGTCTGCCAAAATAATCAATAATAGAGTTATATATAGCAACAGTTGGCTTGATTCCCTTCTCTTCTATTTGGTCCAAAATATCAAGGGCTAATGGCAAATCACCGTGTTTACAGAATTCATTAACTAATATTGACAAAGTTGTATGGTTTGGAACCAGACCCTGATCCTGCATAATTTCAAGTAGAGACTTTGCTTCCTCAACTAATCCATCCTGCAAAAGGCGCTTAATCAAGGAATTATACGCAGAAAGTAAAGGCAGGAGACCTAGAGTTGCCATCTTATCTATACAGAGCAAAGCAGTGTCAAGTTTCCCACCCATACACAAAGCAATCATGTAGATACTAAATGCTTTATCAGCTAAACAAAATTGGCTTTTGGAAATTTCCTCCAGCAGACACTCAATTTTAAGCATTACATCATCCTCTGATTCATGTTCCATGTAACTAGAAATACCTGAAAGTTCAATATTGCATGCCTTTGTGGCAATAGCCTGCAAAATTGTAAGAGCTACATGCAACTCATCCCCTTTAGGATGATTCTTGGCAAGAGTGAAGAAAAGCACATGGTCAGGAATAATCCCACTCTCCAGCATCTGGTGATACAAACTGTCTACTTCCTCAAACCTTTCTTCCTTGCAGAGTGCACTGATTAAGACTGTGTAACAATGCACATTGGGAGCCATATTGCACTGGAGTATCATGTAGTTCAAGAGCATCAAGCCACAGTCAACTTTCTGGTCCTTACAGTATTCACTAATCATGATTTGGTAAGTTACTATATTAGGCTTCAATCCACAATTCACCATCTTGTCATGCAACACCCAAGCCTTGTCAAACAATCTCAAGTGCATAAACCCATGAATCAATGTATTAAAGGTGTAGTTATCTGGTTCACAACCCACCTTAAGCATTCTCATAAACAACCTCATAGCCATCTTCATTTTCCTGCTCTTGCAATACCCATAAATAAGATAAGTGTACATAATTTTATCCATTGACAGACCATATGACTCCATTTCCACACTCAATGACTCAGCCACCTCAACCCATCCTCGCTTGCAAAACTCAAAGATTAACAATTTGCACAAATGAACTGTTGGTGGGACCCCTCGATCTATCATCACATCAAACACATGAAGCGCCTCATCCAAGTACCCCATACAACACAGTCTATCCACCAACCTATTATAACATGTATAATTTAGCATAAAGTCACTAACCTTAGTAAAGCAATCATAGCCCTCCAACACTCTATCTTGTTCACAAAATCCTCTAATTACAGCATCGCAAGCCCCAACAAATGGGTTATATTTCAATTCAATCAACCTGTGGAAATAAGACTTACCTTCATCGATCCTCCCCAG